TATTTACAATAGACTGAATTCCGAGTCTTTCCTCTCGTTAAATTTTAAAGTGTCTCAGTTTTTATCTGGTCACGGTAAATTTGCAAGTTATCTGTTTCGTTTTAATCTACGATCAAACAATTTTATGTGAATGTTCAAAAAACAGTTCCTCAGGATGTGGAACATTTGATTTTCTCGTGCCCTACATTTGATGGTCCTAGATTATGCTTACAGAACGATTTGAAAATGTTCGGAGTGACTTGGCCAGTGAACTTATCTGTTTTCGTGAAGTCCAGACTGCTGTTCTCTGCTTTTGTTCGCTTTATTTATGCATGTAATTTTTAATGTTTATTTATACATGTAACCATTAATGTTCTAGTTAGCTTACTTCTGTAAGCCCTGTGTTGTACATATGTGGTGCACGGGGAGTCCTAGTTAAGTTGTTTAATTTGCTTCATATTTTATGCTTCTACTTTCTCTTTAATTCCACATTATTTGTTCAGTTACAAAACTTCATTGTTGAAATCCTGTAACTGCCATGTCGAGAATTTCCATTAAATTGTCAATCAAAAATTTTTTTCTCAACCTCTCTGCCACTTTCTTCACTATCAGTAGGCATAGTTTCTGGATTTGGAACCCACACACACACTACATATTTCGCCGCCCGTTAATTCATTTCTGGGTGCACTGTCATCGCAATGAAAAACTTTCCTTCATATCACCCTCATTTATTATTATTTCTTCACATTCTGTCACAAATAGCATTAACTAGAAAATTTCACTTCTTGCTTGCAGATATATGGTACTTTTTTTGTAACAGCAGCCACGAGACTGAATCACCAATCAACGATAACTCGACAAAATTTGGCTGTATGTTTTTACATCTTGCCATGTGAACGCATACTAGCCCCGACTGCGTATTCTTATACCTTGCCACATAATCATACATTAGCACCATGTTACGTTTTCTCTCACTGCATGTTCTTATATATACTTTATTTTTGATGAGGTTTTCGAATTTGCATCGTTTTCTTGAAATATATTCATTGCTTTTTTTTTTTAGTATTATATGAACAATCTTTAATTTACAAAGTAATGATGTGGATGCCATATCATTTTTTGAGAAAGAGGTCTTTTACCTGAAGAATGAGAACAAGCATGCAAAAATGGCCGCAACATGAAATTTTATGTTAATAACAAAACCATTTCAAGATGAAATGTTAACAATTGCAAAAAGAAGAAGGGCCTCCATCTTGGAAATTGGTTCAGTGGTTCCAAGATATTTGTCACTGCTATTAGATTTATGTAGTCTTCGGCAAAGAAGATGACATCCATGAAATGGAATAACAAACAGCTTAAATATGTGTGAAAATTCTGCAGTTGACTAGAACAATTGCATGTGATAAAATAATAAGGATAAAGATTCTTAAAAATATTCTTATGAAACAACATACGAGTATTATTGTTATTATTATATACTGTAATGTCAATTTTTACATTCGAGTTTCATGAGCTCGGTGAAATCCTAGTTGAGATCTTGATATAAATATAAAATCACCAAATGTGGTTGGAGGTGACTATAACAAAGAAGTAGCCTGAAAATCTTCAAAGTTGTTGCTATCATCATAAAGCTTAGCTAGCATCCGCTATAGACTATTGAAAGAAAAAGTAATAAATTATGATTCGCCAGATTGGCATCAGTGCCAAAGTGAAATTAAGTGTAAGATCTTTCCAAATCTTTTATTATGAAAAAATATCAAATGCGCAAATGTAAAGTGTAAAAAAAAGGTGCTGGTGATACATTGATTTGAATTTTTTATGGACAGAAAGAGAAAAAAATTCTACCTTTAGAAAATCTGACATAGAAAATTTAACTATTTTTCCTATTTGTGCATACAAATAAACTTATTAACAAAAATACACGAAACAAAACATTTTATCATTAAACAGAGTTGGGTTTCTTCCAGGACAGTGAAAGAAACTGGAAAAAAGAAACGTAAGAAAAAGCACTACTAAAAGCAATTTGACTTAATTTCATTCAGAAAATAAATGTTTAATTATTTCTGCAATAAAATGCAAAATAATCAGTGTAAATATGATAGAATTCTTATTCATTTACTGATGTAATATTTCATTAAACTTTCTCTTTCACACATTTATCGGCTAATCACAAAATTAACTTGAAAATACAGCTTTTTTTTTTTTTTTTTCCTGTAAATTTTGATACCCTTTAGATCATAATTGCTCTTTATTTCATAAATTACGGTTTCATATTTTTAATTTTATAATTTCTGCATGCCATCTTACCAGATTTAAACTAATGATCTATAATCCGGAAAAACCGATTATCTGGAATCGCCAAAGTCCCGCCGAGTCCGGATTAAACACTTTTGACTGTATTACATTAATATAAAAATATACTTTTGCTCCAATTATCATGTAAGCAAATATCTTATTCACTTCTATATCTGCAATTCCATATGTTTCAACAGAATAAATGCACCCAACAGCAGTAGCTGCCCTTCTAACTTGATTCTGAGAGTTCTTTATGGAGCTCGTACCAAACTTAAATCTACCATAATCCAATTTAACATTATTTATATCTTTCTATTTAATACACTTTTTTTATTATTTGAAATGGGTTAATGTTTGGATTATGGTAACTTGGCAATTTTTTGGCGAAATTTTGGCGACCAACCCTGCTACAGGCTGCTAGTTTTTGTTTGGCGACAACCTGCTAGTTTTTGTTTGGACGCCATTTTGTTTTCACGAAGCAAAGGCCTTTTTTTTTTTTTTTTTTTTTTTTTTTTTTTTTTTGTTTTCCCTCAACATTTTTTTTCCAACAATCTGCTAGCCGAATTACGCTTATGCTAGAACTTTTATGGAACAAAAGTGCTTAATTATAACAAAAAATAGGTGCAAAATTGGGAGAAAGTGCAGAATCGCAAACTGCTTGCCGTGTTTTTAAGAATTGCACATACACGGTATCCATGTATACGTCAACCTATTTTCACTTGAAAAAACATCCCAGAATTGCACAAAAATGGCATTGCGCACACTCTTGACTTTATCCATGTACACTGCTAAAGTCCTAGCTAGTAACCTTTATCGCCTTACCAAAATGTCCTCAAACTACCTGTTACCATATTCTGAAGATTAGCCTTGAAATGTTCTGTGAAAAATTACCTACATTTATTTTATGAAAATGTGCAATGAATTATTATACTGAGATTCTGGTTGATATGTTTATAAGCAGCTTTTGGCTAACATGCTAGTGGGCTGAAGTTCAATCTGGGAAATGTCACAGACATCTGTCATTACAACTTATTTGCAGAAGAGAGAGCACTTAAAACTTATTGATGATAAAATCCTTTTAAGAGTACTTCACAGAAGAAAAGATAGACAGCAAAAGAAGGTAGGTTAATGCCAATACTTTGTATCAAAGATCCATATGAATAATTTAGTTACCTTCCTCTATCTTTTGTTCAATTAACACTCTGACCAGTATAGAATATTTTTTGCTATTTCTGTACAAGCGTGCATCTTAAAAAATATGTCCATGAAATTAAGGGAATATACTGAATGTACATAAATCCAGGTATAAAGTACCAGAGGCATTCTGATATTAAAATTTTTAAAATACTTCTTTCTCGTGGCAGTTTTCGGAAATTTGTGCTTTCTTAGTTAAACCTTGTACCGGTCAGAGAGTTTTGTTCTGTTGAAAATTCAACAAATATTAATTAGCTGTATTAAAAGTTACTTAATTTCATACATATCAACTAACAAAATGGAAAATTTAAAAGGAAAGTAAAACATGCCTGCATCAAATTTATTAAAAATACGACTCATGTATCTCTTTACTTTACAAAAATATACATGAAGGAAGTCTGTATAATCTCATCACATTTTTAATTAATCTGAGCTTTCCCAATTCACTTTATTCCAATTATTGCAAATTTACAATCTGTTTTAAAAATTTATTTCAATTATTACAAAATAAATATCATAAACTGCCCACAAATGGTTAATTAATTTAAGATATTAAAGATTTTATTTGTAATATATCTATAAATATTTACTATTAACCCATTTTCTGTATCTAATTAGCTTATTCTATAGTTCTCAGCAACCCAATTAAAAAATCAGGAATTCATTCTATGGAGTGAAAAATAAAGAGGGAAATTTTTTAAAATGTTACATAGATGACTTCCAGAATATTTTGGGGAAAATATTTTTAAAATGTCATTAAATGCTACCTTAATATTAATGAAAATATTATTTAAAAAAATCAATATGGCATTTTTTATGAGTTACCCTTATGGCAGCCAAGGAATTTTAGAAATGGACCCGCTGATTGAAAAGATATAGCTTTAAAAGTCAAAAATAAGTTTGTTTCAAAATATCAGATAAAAAAGAATAATAATTTAGGAATGTAAATTCTTTATTCTACACATTTTTTCCACAGTTATACACATAAAATAAATTTGGGGCAATATGATGGTCTTCTATAATCTCAGCAAAAACAATTGCTAAATCCATACTTTTATGTTTAAGAAATTAAAGAAAACATATGCATCATTTTTATGTATAACAAATGATATGAGCATTTGTTACATACTGCAGTTTTTAAACTATATATTGTATTTGAGTACATATATAGATTATATATATATCAAAAGTAAAATGATAAAAGAGGTATGTTGGGCCATGCAATAAATATTTTGCAAAGAATAAATGGGTAAATTACATAACGAAGTAGTACATTATACATAAAATAAAAATAAAAAATAAAAACATAGGTGAAAAAATATTTTAAGTTTCAAAATTTAAGTACATTAATTTTCAGGAAAAACTGAAATCAAAAGTATTTTTTAGAATTTTGCAATAATTATTACATACCTTCTTTTATTGTAATTCCTTTTGCCACTGAAAACTTAGAACTAAAAATTATAATAGTGTTTTCCAAACTTTATATATTAAGGCTCTTAATAAGGAAAACTTTTAAAACATAAAATACTTACTGGGGGTGGTTTGATTTTACAAATTCCAGTTTGTTCAGCGATAGGTCGTATTTTTGCTATATATGCTAAGGGATCTTTAAATTCTTCGGCCGTAGGTTCGAAAACTGGGGCCTCAGGTGGAGGTAAAAACTCAAAGTCAACAGCATTCATTTCACAGCAGCGATAAACAAACAAAGAAAGTTCAGAAATCTGTTCATAATTAATTACTACCGAAAATCCTTCTTACCAAATTAACTACTCATGAAATATATAAAGAAATATTATCCAAACTACAACAAACCCTCGACTAGCAATCCAAAACAATAAAAAAACGCTTCACAGCTATCTTCGATAATGTAAAGACCAACTGTATCCCGTAACTGCTCCGTTGGCAACACAAATAGTGCAGTTCCTCTGACAACCGTTCCTGTCCCTTTTCGGTTTAGCAGAATGCTAGCAGTATTTATGTTCATATTTTACGATTTACTTCACAGTTCAATGTAAAATCTGTAATACAACAACTAAAATTTAAAATATTGTTTTAAACATGCACAACTATACGCAATGTTACAGAATATATCCAAATATGATAATTTTTTATGTCACATTCCTGGGGAAAGAAAAGATCTCATTCAGATAAATGACATTTTTTCCCAATTTTTTTGTGCATCACTATCATCGAAGTAGGAGATTTTTAGTATGTTTGTTTTCAATTTTGTTATTCGCTTTGTATTGTTCACTTTAAGAGTAATTTCAAGCTGGGACATTCCATGAGACATCAGATGCAAAACCAAATGTGTTTTTTTTTTTTTTTTCCTTCTGTAATCACATGACTGATCGTTCGTTATTCTGTAAATGTTTCAAATGATTCTGTTCTAAATTCTATTTCTTCGGAAAAATAACGAGTATGCATTTATTATTATTATTTATTTATTTATCAGAGCAGCTGTTATTAGTTCGGGTGACTGAGACAGAATGAAAACTAAAACTGAAACTGCCATTAACTTGTTTTTCATTTCAGACATGAAATAATAATAAAGAGAATACCTTTTTTAATTCAGTAAGTTTTTCCGCTTAATATTCTTCAATTCCCATTTACTTTCAATACATTCCCTGATCCAAAATACGAAGTAAGAAAAGTTTACAATTAGAAGTATTTCATTTTCTGTTTTGTAAATGCAAATGTCTGTTATAACCTTACTATAATCTTAAATACTTTTTAAATAAGTTTTCAAGAAACAAAAGCATAACTTTCGACCAGATATTTAGGTTTCAACTGTATTTAGGTGTGATGCACACCCAATTTGATTAATTAAAAAAAATGCCATAGTAGACTATTTTTTTAATTTAAGTAATACGTTTATAGTTTTATCACTCACTACGAAGTTTTGGTGTTTTTCTAAAATGTTTTTGCCGTTACAGCATTTTTATTCTGCTTCATAGTCAGAAGATTAACATATCTTATTTGGAAAAATTTTGCAAAAGCTGTCCTTATTTCAGACGAAATTTAACCGTACCTGTAGCTGTTTATCAATCAACGTGAATTGAGCGTGCGCTTCTGTTAAAATTAAACAAATAACTAACGAAAGTATGTATTTTATTGAAAATATTGCTGTTTAGCATGCATTAAGAACTGCTTTTAATTATGCTATTCACAGAAGCCCAATCAAGGGAATCTAGTGTATTTGCATTGTCAAATTTCCATATGTTTATGTATAAACGTACTTTAATAGTAATCCGATTGGTTCTGTTCTTCTGTCATAATAATTATTCCCGAGACTAAAATTTAACTAATTTCATTTTCTTCATATTAAGATAATGTTTAGTTCAGTAGCATCGCGTATTTATTTATGAGACGTTACTTTCTTGTGGCATATGCAATCCGGCCTGCAAAATTGGTGTCAGTTTTACTGTATGATTGCATTTTTGATAATAGGTAAAGGTTTATGCAAACTCAGCGTATCTTTGACTGGTCTGTTTAACTGTAATTTTCAAAACTGAAATAGAATCAAATAAACTATGACTTTATTTTATGTGCACTGTGTTGTAAAATACTAAAATGAGATCTAGTTCATATGTATTTTATAAATTTTCTAAATGCGGTCATGAAATTTTCACAGAAATCGGGAAAAAAATATTACTGAGTATACGGTACAGCCTTGGTGTGATTTTGAAAATTGTCGCCAACACCAAAATGACTAATTTACTGTTCATCATAAACACCACGTTTACTCATCATTATAATGTAGCCAAAACCCGTGCATACCGTATAGTAGGATTAAACCAAATTTGTATCCCAGTTGTTTAAGAAAAAGCTCAAATAATTTGCTTTATATGCGTAGCTAAGTGAAAGCTTTTAAGTGTTGAATTTGCACCTCACCATAAAATAAAGGTTTACAACCATCAATGTCTTTTCATAAGCATATATATATAAGCCCATATCTTTTCCTGCAGTTTTTGTGTTTATGTATAACAAATATATTCTCTTCATGCTTGAAAAAAAAATTATTTGATTGAAACTGTAGAGTACATTATAGATAGTTTTACCAAATAGTGTTTACTTCTTTAAATATATGGATTGAAATATTTGGTGAAAATGATGGAATTAAAATTGTTTTATAGGAGAATTATAAACATGTATTTCACATTTTGTTTGTGTAAAGTGCACAAATATGTAACCATTGGGAACAGCAGCTCTTGCTGGTGACAAGATTTGTTCTTTTAGAAGTTAAACAAGTAAAATTGATAACAATTTTGTATGTGCATTTTTCTCAACTCTTATGCTTTATATTTTGTGTACTACAAAGGCACAAAGATTTTAGGATTTCAACCTGGTTATCTGTTTAAAGAGTAACTACTATGTCCATATATTACTGCTGTTAACAAAAAGGATGCAGTCTTTATATACAAAAATATCTACTCTTCATTAGATAATGTGTTTTTTAAATACTGTGGGAAACTAATAAATAGTGAAATATTTCTCAGAGATGAATATAAAAATACAGTATTGGTAGTGATGTTTTTCCATGAACTGCATGCCTACTACATATAGTAATTATGAATGTATATAAAATTAGCAAAGCAACAACTTTGTGTTTGGCATACATTTAGTCAATAACTAAAGTTATTGACTAAATGTATGCAAAACACAAGGTTATTACTTAGTTTTATGTTTCACTTTGGTGTGCTTCTCTTCTGTTTTGATATATGTACGTTGTAGGATTCAAAAGTTCCCAGTCTGAGTCTATAATGTAAAATTTTTTGTAGTTGTGCGACTACAAGAATGTTTTTGTGTTACTATGTGCTCCCCCTTTTATAAAAGTGGTTTGTCCCCAATCACATGGTCGAAAGCTCTTTTTGTAGGCAGGCACATTTAGTAACCGGAGGTAGAAAGAAATGTCATGAGTTGAGTAAAGAATCAAAATCAAATTTTGTGTTTGTTTGGGAAAGAGTGCTACTAAGACTTTCGAAATGTTGAAGCATGTGTACGGAAGTGAAACATTATTGAGAATGCAAGCTTTTGAGTGCCATCGACATTTCAGAGAAGGCTGGGAAAGTGTCAAAGATGACAAACACTGTGGCTGTCCCGTGACTTTGCACACCAATGAAAAAAATGTCTCTGGCAAACATGCAGCAAACAATTTGCCAAATACCAGAATCATTTGGGATATCAGAGGCCACATGTCAGTTGATGCTGGCTAAGGGTCTTATCATGCATAGGGTGTGTCAACATATCGTTTCCCCGCATGTTAAATGTAGACCAAAAGGGAATTCAAATGGAAATGGCATGAGACTTAATCTCAGCTCTTGACAAAGATCCTTCCCTACTTGGCAGACTTGCTGCTGGAGATGAGAAATGGTGTTTTCTTGTAGGACCTGCAAGCCAAGAGAGCACCATAATAGCCGTGGAAATCACCATAATAGCCGTGGAAGCAGAAATTTCGCCAAGATTGCTCTAGAGGAAAGGTCATGCTAGAGGTATTCTTCGATATCCAGGACATTTTACATCTGGAATTTATCCGTGAAGGACTCACTGTGAACAAAGCACTCTATGTCAAAATCCTGCATCGTTTGCACAAGTCGATCCGTAAGAAGAGACCAAAAATGTGAGCTGAGCAGTCATGAGTGCTGTTGCATGACAAAGCTCCTGCTCACTGAGCCCTACTCGCCCTACTGTCTATTATTGACTTGCAAAAATGAAAATAACTGTTTTGCCTCATCCTCCTTACTCACTTGATCTCTCACCCTGCGATTACTTCCTATTTCCTGAACCGGCAAGACATTTGCAGGGTTGTTGATTTCAATCTTCAGATGAAGTTAAATGTGCATCACAGGCTGAATTAAAGGACATGGCCAAAAATGATTCAGACTGCTCAGTGAACTTCCGGGCCTGGCAAAGTGGTTGTTGCACAAGGCCTTATTCGAGATATTGTCTGCAGTAAGTCATAATATTTTTTATGTTATAGACTCAGTCCGGGAACTTTTGAATCCTACCTCGTGTATATTTGTGTATTGTTAAAAGTTACTGAGATATTTTTTTGTTTTTTGGAAATTCTTTGCCATGTTAATGGTTTCTAAAGCTGAGTAATATTAGTTTTCCTGAAGAATTCTAGAGTGTAGTATATTTGAAATAATATCTGTAATAAGTCTTTTTGATGTTCAAATTAATTTAGCTGATTGCATTATTCATTATATATACAAGGTCCACTAGTGGTTGGGCAGTAAAGTCGTTGAACACTGTTAGTTCAGTCTAAGGTTTGAATGCCCTGAACTGGCTTACTGCATGGGTGTATCCCTTCCCTCAAGCAAATAGCCCTTGAATGCTTTGCCGTAATCAAATAAACCAAACCGAACAGAATATATATTTATTAGTTCATTCAAATGTATTAATTCTTACATTTTTACTTTATTTGTTTATGCTAGTTAAATAATTTCCACATCAGCTAATTAGAAATTTTTTTAATTAGTTAATTCATCATGAGTAGATTCTTTGCTACGGGTTCTGAATCGGAAAGTGAATCGTCATCATCAGAAGAGGAACCTATTCCCCAAAAGGCACAAGGCATTACAGGGTAAGTATTACAATTTCAAACTTAATATGTTAAAAGATGCAGTCTTACAGCATGTCATATTTATATGCCAAATATGGTAAAATTCTGATTGATTGAACATATAAGAAGTGCAGTTCATGATAGGAAGCCAAATAAAAAATTTCAGGTTTAAAATTGTAAAAAATTCGCCACTTTTCCGTTTCACTAGCGCAAATCTCGCCAAGCAGACTTTATTGGCGACAACACGCAATATACACATAAAAAATTTTAATAAATTTTTATTTTGAAGGCATAAACATTTACTACTTTAAAATTTGTAAAAAGTGATAAATAAAATTAAAGACTTTCTATGCTTTCGGGACATCGATTTGCTGTTTCATATCACGTGACCCCAAGATGCATCTCACGTAAACTACGCTACAAATCTAATTTTTCAGTAATTATCTCATTAATTTCAGTTAAATCTTAATTTGTAATACAATTTAAAATGCAAGAAGATTTAATTCGTAGAAAGTTTACTCAGAAATTATATGGAAACCGCAGTGCTTTCTTTTGCTAGTGCATTTCATTAGAATTGATGAATTTAATCCTTGACTTTGCGTTTTGTATATTTTTGCCTTCATGTGAGCGGTATGATTGCATCTTAATTACCATGAATGGCCTTAGGTCAAATTGAACTATCTGGTAAAAATTCTTTGCAATTGTATGCCAGTATTGAAAGAATCTGATAAGAAATGACTGCGACTTGTTTTGAAAATGAGGCTAAAGAGTTTATGAGTGAGGAAATTCTGTTTGGCATCGATTGTACCATTTTTGGCGACTTTATCGCTTGCGTCGGCAAAATGGAAAAGTACCAAAAAATCATCTGATTTTTTATTACCTTGAATGGCAAAATTCTGATGTTTTAGGTTATATAATATTTTTAAAAAATGCATTTCAGGCATCAAAGCGTGCATATTTTTATCACCTTAAACATATGAAAGTGGAATATCCTATTATGAAAACTCATTGATCATGAAAATTGACAGAAATAATGCCAGTGATTCCAAAGTTTAAAGCAACAGATTGTTCTTTTCTAGTTAGATATCTAAAAGATACAAATTATGAATATAGCATAAAAAAATCTTAAATTGCTATCATAATTTTGGTGAATCTTCGGATTATGGTAACTTGGCGATTTTTTGGACGCCATTTTGTTTTCACGAAGTAAAGGCATGGTATTTTTTTTTTTTTCCTTCTTTTTTCCTCAACATTTTTTCCTACAATCTGCTAGCCAAATTACGCTTATGCTAGAACTTTTATGGAACAAAAGTGCTTAATCATGACGAAGATTAGGTGCGAAAATGTAGAATCACCCACTGCTTGCCACGTTTTTAAGAATTGCATATACACGGTATCGACCTATTTTCCCTTAAAAAAACATTCCAGAATTACACAAAAATTCCATTGCGCACACTCTTGACTTTATCCATGTACACTCGACCTATTTTCACTTAAAAAGTCAAAGAAAATTGACAAAAAACCAAATTTTCTTACTCTTGTATAAACTGCCAAACAAATAAGTGGGCGATTCTGCACTTTAGTAGCGAAATTCTTTCTAAGTGCTTATTAGCTAAAATCCCGATTGGAATTTTCCAGAAAATGTCACATTACCTGTCTCATGATCTCTCATTTCTCTGAGACAAAATAATCTGTGATTCGAACTGTGTACTTCTCATATTATTGCTAAAGGCCTAGCTAGTAACCTTTATCGCCTTACCAAAATGTCACCAAACTACCTGTTACCATATTCCAAAGATTAGCCATAATTTTTCATGCTGCATTGCCATTATTTTTCTCTTTAGTGTAATATAAAGTGTGCACATTAACGCACACATTTCATGATCCCTCATTATTTGAAAATATTCTACTGCATGTTGCTCTGTAAAGGTAGGTTCCAAATTTTATTTATTTATTATCAAAATTCAAGGGGAATAACAGATGAACTTACATCATTTAAAAAAACTAAACCAACTTATCAAGCATAATCAGGTTTGCATAAAATTAAGGTCTTATTATTGTACTGTGACACCACAGTTATCCATTATTAGTGCTAGATCACACTGTTTGGCAATAGTGTCCTATATTGGCTAATATTCCATAAGTGGGGTAAGTTGGTGCCAAACTATTTTGGCCTTCAAAATTTGGTGAATTTTTTTGGCGACAATGAAAGCACAAGGTGTGATTTTTAAACATAAACAGAATAGTAACTTTTAAGTTTTGCAATAGTGAAATGCTGTTATTTTATGTAAACAGATTAGTAAAATGAGATGATAAAATACTAGATGAGTAAAACGAAGTCCAACAGCTTTGCAAGTAAAAACATAGTCCTTTCTATGTAATTCCTCATAAAACAGTAGAAGAAACAATTTTTGTAAATAATTATTGAGTAAATAAATATATACCCTTATCAGATCGGAGCACTGTGAAGTAGTTTTTTAATGTAACAGAATAACAATTTTGTTACATGGTGAAAAAGCCATTATATGTGCAAACAGAATAGTAAATGAAATGATTAAAGATTAAACAACTCGTGACTCAACCACTAAACAACTTTCATCAAAACTTTAATATTCCACATCATTCGATTACCCACATGCAAGAAACAAAATAAAAAAAATAATAATAAACTAATAAAATAATGAAACATTCATAATTAAAATTCACATCATCTGAATCCAACATCTCCATCAACAACATTTAACTTGCAAATATTTATATAAATATAATAAACAGTAAAACTTTTAAAAACAAACACAGTATTTCAAAGATAAATTTTAAAAAAATCTTCTGGCTACCCTAAATTCGCACTCTTACAATTATCGAAATAAAGCTCTAGGTTTCCAGCAATAAAACATACAGCCGGGCCCCACAACCAAATCAAAATCGCGTGAAATAAAAAACTCACGCCAAGTTTGGCGCTCACCCCGATTATGGAATATTAACCCCTATATATATAACGGCTTAATTTTTTGGAAGTGGGGGTGAAAAAGGAACATTTCTAAAATTAAAAAATATTCTTCTTAGTTGAGTTTCCTGATTAGTTGAATGCTGGATTATCAGACTTTTACTATACTCTATGTTAAAAATTTATTAGAATTATGAAAATAAACCTAGTGCATGTATTATTATATATACAGTCAAAAGTCGTTAATTCGGACACCCATAATCCGGACCTCAAAGCTAAAAACTTTCTGCGCATGCGCCGCGTTGACACGTGCACATAGCCGTTTACGCGGCGCTAAACCTTTACACTGCGCATATGCATGTGCGCAGTGCAGAATACGTTCTCGCATGCACGTTTTATGTATCGGACGGTAATAAGCTAAAATTATCTAATTATCTATTTCAGTTAATGTTTGAGATGCGGTTGTTCCTTAATCGTCGAATGGATCCGGTTTATTTTTTTTTGCGACTGTAAGAGCATTTATAAAAGTGCTTGAACTTTCGATATGTCAATAGAATTCCGATGCTGGAGCTGCTCCGAAGGATCTACAACGAAAGTATGTTTCGATGTCATCAACAAAATGGAATTGCTGCAAAAAATGGATAAAGACAGAAGAATGTGACAGAAGGTTAGTGAAAACAAAAAAATCGATTGACAAGTTAGTCGTATCTCGCCAGCAATTACGGACTTGAACATGGACTTTGTAACTGAAAGAAATTATGTCCGTTTATAGAATTAAAGAGAAAGTATTATCACATAAAATGAGCAACTCAAACATTTACATTGAAAGAATGTTTAATAAAGAAACAAATAAATATTAAGCTTTTTTTTTTTTTTTTGTAATTTTGATACCCTTTAGATCATAATTGGTTCTTTATTCATAATATGATTTCATATTTTAATTTTAGAATTTCTGCATGCCATCTTACGAGATTTAAACTGATGATCTATAATCCGGAATAACGACTTTTGACTGTATATATACGACGCACGTCCTGAAAGTAAGTTCAGTTTCAATTTATCTCCGCTGCAGCTCTGTGATCGCAGTTCCGCACATGCGTAGTTCGCGCATGTGCAGCTCTGCGATCGCAGTTCCGCACATGCATAGTAGACGCTCTGTATCAAGAAGAAATGCGCGCCATCTGGAGATCGCTGTCAGTCACTCGCTTTGTTGTGCTTGTTTACAATGTCGGTGTTGAAATTCCGCTGCTTGTGAATCAGATCTGTGATTCGTTTTCTGAATCGAGGAACGTGACCTAAACAAACGATGAGTGATTCAGGGTGAAGATGGGTCCGAAGTTCAAGACGGACGTATGATTGCCGATGAAGACAGGGCCCATCTTTGGTTACAGAACGGTTCATCCGATTGATGCAAATCCATGAAAACCGAAGGTTTACAATTATGCTCTCTTTATGGAATTTCCCCAAATTTCACGATCACTAATGCAATGAAATTGTTTACCGAAAACTGAAGTTCATAAACTTTGCTCACGTTGGGTTACCAAAATTCTTATTGGCAACCCCACAAAACGGATGGGTATGCACTTCATTTTTACCCTTATGCTGAAAGCAGCGAAGAATTCTGACACAGATGTCACATGAGATGAAACTAGTTTCTTACACCCCTGAAGTAAGCGGCAATCAATGGAATGGATGCACACTTCATCCCCAGCAAAGGTTAAGCCAAGCAATCTCGAAAAAGATGTGCCCAGTGTTCTGGGACTGGAAGGCATCTTACTCATTGATTTCTTACCGCATGGTCAAACAATCAAGCAAATGCGTATTGGCGAGACACTTTGGAATTGCGCCGCGCAATACAGATAGAGCGCCGAGATTGCTTCAAAAGTATTGTTTTTCTTCACAACACGCATGACCACACACTGCAAAATGTGACGAAAAACCTCCTACAGGTATTTGGCTGGACGTGTTTTGCCATCCTCCGTCCAGCCCTGATCTCGCTCCTAGTGACTTTATCTGTTCTTACTCTTAAGTCTTTCCTTGGCGGTCAACACTTCAACAATGACGACAACTGAAGAACTGTTTAACTGTTGAAACGCAGCGGCAATTTCTATGAAGAAGGTATAAAACTTTGCCACGCTATGACAAATGCCTGCAATTTTCGGCAGTTATGTCGAGAAGTGTTTAGAGTTGTTGAATTTTGTGTCAATAAATAACTTTTCTATAGCTGTACCATTACTTTATTACCAAACGGACTTCTTTCTGGACGTACATTGTATGTATAATCCGCTCTCAGTAATTGATCTATTATTCAATCGGTACTATTCGGTTTTCAAGGGCGTAAAAATTGCAGCGAAAGTGTATGCGCAAAGCCCAAATCTAAAGCACCAATTTAACAGCATGCCAAATCTAGCGTACGCATTCATTTCAGATTGCGTAAGTTTATATAGTTTCTATATTTCTTAAGACGCCATTGAATACTAGTTTTAATTTTTAAATCCTTTTTGATATCCTATAGATTTAACAATTTGGGAATTGCCAATGACGAAAAGTCGGCAATAGAATTTTGGGTAAAGTGCAGAATCACCCACTGCTTGACGCGTTTTTAAGAATTGCACATACTTGGTATCCATGTGCACATTGACCTATTTTCGCTTAAAAAAAAATCCTAGAATTGCACAAAAATGGCACTGTGCACACCCTTGACTTTATCTATGTACACATTGACCTATTTTCACTTACAAAGTAAAAGAAAATTGACAAAAATCCAGTTGTTTTTGCCATTGTAAAAAGCGGCAAACAAATAAGTGAGCGATTCTGCACTTTACCGAGAATATTTTCAAAGAAAAGGCATCATTCATTATAGAAAATTACGTTTGAACAACCAGCGAGATGAAATTATGCTTTAGCGATAAGTCGGTAGCAAAATAGCGATGCAGGCATCCATTCAGTTATGTTTAGCAATTTTTTATAAATTATAATAATGATCTGAAATAGTTATTTACTCTTATGCTTCCATTCAGTCATGTTTAGCCTTTTTCATATAAATAATAATAATAAAAAGTATTATATGAAATTAACCTTTTATTTAATTAAAACATGAATCTTAGATAGTTATTTACTATTATACTTCCTTTCTTGCCGCAATTATTTTTGGCAGTATTGGCATCAACAATAGTTTGGCGATTTTTTACGGCCCTCGAAACCGAATAGTACCTTCAAATCTTTTGAATCATTTTACGTGAATAAGTCATCTATTATCGAAGCCTATCGAATATTTTTACTTTTATATGCCTACAGTTTGTGAAATGCATTTTCAGACCTTGAGTGGTTCTGATGTAGGAGGAAGAATATTTTACCTGTACCTGTATAAGTGTTGTGAAGCCATAAGACATGTCCATTTGGAGTTGAATATTTCTACTAGCAAGTGTGAAAGTATTAGATTCTGATGAGTTTAAGCTCAGTTAGCATTATGGATTGCTTTTTTTTTAACTTGATTTTAACTTATTATTTTTTGTTCTATTATTATCAGTGTTATCAAATTTAAAATTTGAATTTTTAGTTATGTCTAAAAGATAATTCTGGGAAGCAGGATCATCTAAGTAAAAGCATGTTTTGATATTAATCAAGTAAAATGTGGAATTGCTGCAAAAAACGCAAACAGGCATACCTGTGTCAAAGTATGAGAGGAATATTCCATTGGAAAAGCATCAGTATAATATTATATATGTAAACAAAAAAATTTTTTTTAAATTGAAATTTGCAAGGTTTAAGATTTTAAATTACGTCTAAAGGGGCCTTTTTATTATTATTATTATTATTATTATTATTTTTTAAACGTTTTGTGTGTTACTTTTATTTATTAAATATTATGTTCTTTGCACTAAACCATAAAATTCAGTTCAACAGCAGTATCGCAAAATATTGTCGATGCTGGTTTAACCATTCTGTTTTTCATATATTTATAATCATTGTTAACAAAATATTTTATATTTCCATAGTGCTTTTACATTCAGTGATGAAGAAGAAGAAACTAAGCGTGTTGTGCGAAGTGCACGAGAAAAGAGGTAAATTTTGTTTTAGATTTTATGTTTTGGATCTCTTTAAATAAATATTTGGATAGACATAAATGAAGCATTTGTCAGTTCCACAAACTTGTTAATATTATTTTCTGCTCGTCCAGAGCTAATTTGATATTGCCAGATTTTTTATACCAGTTATTTTCAAAGATCTGTGCAGTGTAGGAAAAGTTTTTAATTTTCATAATACAGTACAGTCAAAAGTCGTTAATTCAAACACCCATAATCCGGAATGATCTATAATCCGGACCTCAAAGCTAAAAACTTTCTGCGCATGCGCCGCGTTGACACATGTGCATAGGCGTTTACGCGTGCGCGTAAGACCTCTTACGACTGCGCATTTGCGTGTGCGCAAGCGCAGAATACGTTTTCGCGTGCGCGTTTTATGTATAACGGACGGTATAAGCTAAAATTATCTAATTATCTATTTCAGTTAATGTTGATGATTGCGTTGTTCCTTAATTTTCGAATTGGATCCGGCTTATTATTTTTTGCAGACTGTAAGAGCAATACTATAAAAGTAAACTTGAACTTTCGATTATGTCAAATAGAATTTCCCCGAATCTGGAGCTCCCAAAGGATCGTACAAAACGAAAGTATGTTTCGATGTCCATCAAACAAAAAGTGGAATTGCTGCAAAAAATGGATAAAGACATGAAGAATGTGACAGAGAGGTTAGTGAAAACGAAAAAATTTCAATTGACAAGTTAGTCGATATTCTCGGCACAGCAATTAACGGGGCTCGAACAGCGGAACTTTGTAACTGAACAAAAAATTATGTCTGTTTATAGAATTAAAGAGAAAGTATTAGCACATAAAACGAAGCAACTTAAACAACTTACATTGAAAGAAATGTTTAATATTAAGTAAACAAATAAATATTAAGCTTTTTTTTGTAAATTTTGATACCCTTTAGATCGTAATTGTTCTTTATTTCATAAATTACGGTTTCATATTTTTAATTTTAGAATTTCTGCATGCCATCTTATGCGATTTAAACTGATGATCTATAATCCGGAATCGCCGAAGTCCCGACGAGGCCGGATTAACGACTTTTGACTGTATTAAAGAATTAACTCTAAGGAGGCTTCTTGTTAAAAGTATATTAAAGAAGTTGAATTTTCATTTCTTAATAGAATGATCCAAACATTTGATTTTAAGCAAACATGAACAAAAATTATTCAGAACTTAACAATATGACTCAAATGATATTAAATTGAAAATATCTTAATAGATGCTAATTCATAAGTCAAACAACAAAAATCAGCATTAATTTTCAAAATTTTCACAGGACTAGTTTCGATGGTTTTACCGAACCAGCTGAGGATGGTGGTTCGGTAAAACCATCAAAACTAGTCCTGTGAAAATTTTGAAAATTAACGCTGATTTTTGTTGTTTGACTTCTGAATTAGTACTTATTCGGCGTGTTATTGTGTCTTAATCTTAATAGATGCTTTAAAACTTTGTGTATTTTAAAATAAAAGAGTTATGCATTATAATTATCATTTGATTGTTGCCCTGAAAAAGAAACAAGGTACAAATTATTTGCAATTAAAACAGGTTAATCCATAATTTTCATAGATTGTAATTAGATAGCAAAAAAATTGTTTTGTTCACATTTAAAATTTCAGTATGTATGAATAAAGTGCTATTGTGTATTATTTATTATCTAAATAAAAATTCAAATAAGTAAGCAATAATATATTTTTCAATGATCTAATAATCAATGGCTGTCAGTCCAAAGAATCCACAAAATTAGTAGAATGATTTATACTATTTTCATGGTTTTCCCCATAAATATGAGTAAATTTCTTTTAGAAAGTCCTTCATGAAGACATCCTGTTCATCAGGCAGATAGCTGCCATGTACTTTGCCATATTGAAAACAAGTGAATTGGTTACTGTCTGATGCATTATGTATGCCTTTTTTAAATATAGCACACTTTTGGCCACAGCAAACATGTATTTATCTCTCGTAACTTCCTTATCTATAGTTAATGTAAGTAAATCCACCACTAGCTAAGTAATTTTATCATTTTATAATTGGAAATTAAAATACCTAAATTCTCAATAAAAATCAACATGGATATAGCAAAATTGCCAGTTCTTGGTTTTTTTACATCTTCCACTTTTCCAGTAGATCATCAAATTTGCTGATTTTTAAATTTTTAGCCTTTACTAAGAAAAGTTTTATATTATACTTATAAGTTTTGGGTGAGGGCAATTAATCAAATTTATTGAGTTAATGAAACTTGATATAAATTTCATTCTCTCACTCTTAGTAATTTCCAGCACAATTTTTCTTGTTAAATTTTATTTGATGTAAATTATCTTAATGTTTTTAAGAAATCTGTTGAAATTTTTATAAAGATATTCAATTATTTAATCACGAAATGTTTATATTTAATTTTGTTGCACTTCAATATATGAAACATTATAAAATTTATTTATGCAATAGTATATTATTTAATTTCATCATGATTAAAAGTGCTATGATAAATTAAAGCTTCCTTCCCCACTTTCAGTTTCCTTAGTATAAACATAAGAAAATTACAAAATGAAATTGGCTAAAGAATATTAAATTTAGAATTTCTGATTAAATATTAATATATTTTGACCCAGAATTATGCACTCTAATCTAAATCAGTTTGGAGTTCTTTTGAAATGATGGTGCTGTGCTGTGTGAAAAGAAACTCCTGATTTTTTTGGCACAAGAAGCTTCCACTTTTCAGTAGATCATATTTTGAGGTTGACTGCTATGTCATTATAATAAAATGAGTAAAGAGCAGCAAAATAAGACCATGGCCAATTGAATTGATTAATTGCTATAAACAGTGCAATAACAATATTGCCAACGTAGTGCAATTATCACTATTTTGGTCATGTTTACATTGAGTGGGTTTCTTGTTTTAGTATAACTACATATTCAAGTAATTCCAACTTATCTATGTTATTTGTAGATGTCATCTCTTCTTTAAAGTGAATAACAGAATTATATAAAAATTCATGTATGTTTACAGTATGTATGTATTTCTTATTAAAGATTTTAAATTATCATTATACTTATTATAACTTCATATTTTAATATTGACAATATTCTTTTCAAAAGTATTTAGTGCTTTAGTTACATACTAGTTTTCTTGAACATGTAAATACTGTATCTGTAAACAGCTGTAGTTAATTCTTGTTATTATTACATGTCTTTTTTTTCCTTTCCCAGATATGAAGAACTCATTGAAATAATTAAGCTGATAAAGAATCATAAAAAGATAAAGGATATGAGTAAACTTTGGACTAGTAAGTGAATATATGGTTATTATTATGTTTTAAATTTAATGTGTAAAATTCAGCTTATATATGCTACTGTTTTTAGCAGAATATTAAATAATTATGCTTTCAGTGGCAATTGCACATAATTTATACACAAAATTTAGGCATAAAGGGTGACTGATTTTTACACATTTATTCACAACATTTTAATGACTTCTAGAAACTGTTAAAAACAAATGGTATGCTGAATGTTTATACAGAATGTGGCTCAAAGGTCACCAAACATTATTTTAGTATCTTATTTCAGTAGAACATTACATAATAAGTAAAGGAGGTATTATTTCGCATGTTTAGGTGTATAACTCCATGGCTTTAAAGTGTGCCACCTACCAACCACCGGAGGAAATGCAGCCTTCTATAAATAATAGGCAAACAGAAAAGTAGCCACTGCAAAACAGATTTCAGAAAGTGGCAAGCATGAGAAAGAGTTCTCTTATAAAATAAAATAAAGAAAAAGATCTTTAGAAAAACAGTAATAGACATAAACAAAAAAAGAAAAACAACATTCTAACAATGATGAAGTGGACAAACAGTGAATGTGAACTGTCAGTGGTGGGACAAGCACTGCTTGGATATTTTTCTTTTGTTTTATGATGTATCATAAAATCTGAATGTGTTTTAGCAACAAAATTTTCTATTATATTAACACATATACTTTCAGTGTAAAGCAAGTTCAGAGTTGCCAGCTCTCCCGATTTAGACAGGAGACTCCCAATTTCTGATCATACTCCTGTCACGATTTTTAGCAGATTTCTCCAGACTTTCTCTTCTTAAAATTTCTCATGATTTTTATGTAGCTTGGCTTAATACTGCATTATTTGCTCCCCAAAAAAGGGATTTTTGTTTTTTGTCGTCTGAAAGCACTTGTTTTTCTCTAGATGCATATAAAGAAAAAAATCAAACTTGTTTTGTCACTGAGACATGGCGTGTTTCTGCTTTATGTATGAAAATCAAAACTCGTACACAGAGGACATTCCTGCTATTATTTTGTTAAGAAAATTAATATTGTAATGTATATCATTTGTCATTGCACTTTCTTGATTTCACATGAAGGAGAGGCTGATGTCTTAAACATTTACGTCCACAAGGATAACATCAGTTGTACTGGGAAAAAATTATATTTTTCTGGGAAAACAAAGGAACAAAAAGTTATTAATGCAGAGTACCTGTTTTCTATCTTATTACTGAAGCACAACCTCTCTTTGAATGCATCGGATCATGCTGCAGCTTTTCTAGAAATATATTTCCCAACAATAAAATCGCTAAGAAATACACAAGTTCAAGGGCAGCAATTGTAGAAGAAATGGGTTTAAGAAATTGGTATGAAAAATAAATCTTCAGTTATCGATTACATAAACAGTTTCATTCTGCATCTTTGTGGATGGAAGAATAATACCAATTCAAAACTGTATCCAGTTGTTGGTTCCTTTTTTTTTTTATTCCAAAGTCTTCAAAAATTGAGTATAGTTTACTTTCTGCCCCCTCTTTAGAAGAGATTCGACAGGCACCTAATAACACAGCTAATTGTTAAAACTTTAAAAGAAAGTGCAATTCTTCAGGATAATTGCTTAACACTTAGTGCCGTACCGACAATGCATCAGGAATTTGAAGAAGATTCATGTTGCAGGAATCCTAAAAAAAGAAAATTAATATTTGCAAATTAATGAAATGGTTTTGTCACCTCCTAAATTTAGCAGTGAAAAAGAGGCAGCTTCTTTGCCAGTAAGTATAATTGAACACATTTTTTTATATTTATTATGATTATATGATGATCTTGGAAAGATTGCTAAAAGGAAGGGAAAATTGAAACAATTCTAATAAATAAGAAAAAATCTGAAATACGTATGTTGGTTATCATTAGAGAAATGTTTAGCTAGAATCATCGACCACTAAAAGTTAATGCTTCTAGTGTTTTTTAAGGAAAAAGTAAATGCTTCTAGTGTTAAGATAAAAGGCTCTGTTAAGAGTTATAAAATACCCTAAATAGAGGTATAGTTGTTGCTTCCATTGTTAAAAATAGGTGTGAGAAAAGCTAAGTAATTTCTGCATCTGCGAGCAATTTAACTGGCAATTCTCAAAATAATACCACAAAATATAAGCGTAAAGCTCTCAAAAAATAAAAAATCAGCTTGACAAAAGACACACCTTTCAATTATTGTATGTTTATCTTGTGAAGAATGAATATTTATGTTTTAGTCTACAAACCTTAACAAAGTTTTTTGCTCTTTCGCACTCTTCATTTTGCCATCCAATGCTCTTAACACAATTCCACAGTGCAGAATTGCATTAATTTAAGTTTTATAATCAAAGAGTAGTGATCTGGTTAACATATTTACCATATTTGACGGCATATAAGACGCACCTTTTTTCCTAAATTTGGTCTCAAAAGAGTTACCTGCATCTTATACGTGAAGAACTCAGGTTAACTTTCAATGCTGAATGTGATTTTTAGCCCGGATAAAGGTCTAGACACACATAACTTTTTCTACACCTGCCATAATTATTTTGCGAATGCGTGAAATATCTGTCGCCAAAAAGCGCCAAAGCTCGAAGCTGATGTCGAAGCTCGACGGTCACATTACGTCTATGGAGCCTTTCCTTCTTTACATAGACTTTCTTGGACTCATCCGACACATGTGTCGTTATCGGTGCTTAAAACTGTTTGTTAAAAAAAAAAAAAAAATACACTGGAAAATATGACTACAGGAAACAAAAGATTAAGCTATACACAATTCAGTATAAACTAGGAGTGTTAAACTATGCCAAAGTGCATGGAAACAGAGCAGCAGCAAGGCATTTCGGTCCACCACCTACCGAAAAAATGATACGTACTTGGTGACTGCAGGAAGATCAACTGAAGACTGCTAAAAAACAAAAATATAACCTTCAATGCCCAGCTCCATCTTGGCCTGAACTTGAAAATTACATTTTAAGTTATTGTGGTACTGTGCTATTGGCTATCACGTGGACTATTGAAACTTTTTTTCCTTGTGTGTGGTCTTCTAAATAAGGGTGTGTCTTATATGCTGTCAAATACGGTAATGATTAGGGAAACTGATTATTTTTCTATTATTAGAAGGTACAAGTAATATTTTTTTCCCATATAAGTATTTTTGCATTTAAGAAACAATAATTGAACTTTCAGATATTAAAATAGTTACCATTAAAAATTAATTCATTATTAAAAATATTTTTCCTCTCTACGTATTTTTATTATTTAAGAAGTATTTTTGTTATAGAGAAGTTCACCTGATTTTTTAGTGTTGTAGGTTGGCAGGTATGCTAGTTTTAAAGGTGAAGAATTAAATATTTAAGAAGCTAAAATTGCTTAGAATTGTGCTTACTTGGCTATAAATTGGCTGCCCAAAGTGAGACTCGTATGATTTATTAGATTAAGAACAACCAGTGTTTAAGTCTCCAAGACATCGACTCCTATTTTTAGTTAGTACTTCCACTGGCAAAGTCTTCCCCTAAGATTATTTTAGAGATTGTTTCAGTTTCATCTTTACCTAAAGATAACAATGAACTTTTCAACAAACATTGAAAGTAGATAACGTAGTGTTTTTGGGACTAGCCAGGAAAAAGATCTATAAGTGTTGGCCACAAAATTGTGTCTTCCTGTCTGAGATAATTTAAAAGTTTTTCAGCTCAAAGATTTAATTACAAACTCAGACAAGTATGAAGAAGAATTTGTAAAGAATTCACTGACCAGCATAATTAATGAAAGAAAATTGGTTGAACAAGCAACTGAAAATGATAAATTAGCATTAACTGGGGGTGGGAACTTTCGTGCAAAGAACAGGCATCTTAAAAACTTATACATGAAGAAAAGGCTGTAAGATGAACAAATCGAAAATGAGCATCTTTTCAAGTTGGAAAAATTAAGACTTCGACTGCAGTTACAAAACATTTCTCAAAAAGGGGTGATAGGTCAGGAAGTAGATCATAGGAAGATAAAATTGGATTATACTATTTGACAATTTTTGAATGTGAATTAATATTTTTCAGAATCAAAATGGATTTTTTATCTGATCACTTCATTCCCAACACAAATAGCACAAGTTATTGCTAGAGAAGATAAAGACTATCAAGATTACCGAAAATTTTAAGAAGATACTTCTTAAGCAATAGAGACCTGCTGACTGTTCAGAGAGTTTTTTTGTAACACAAGAGTACTGCAGTCCAAGTACTGCCTGGAGAGATTTCTGCTTTAAACTATCATCACATTTTGATGGATAGATAACAGAACTTAACATTGAAGATTTAAAACAGCTTAAAAACATAATTATTAATGACCAAATGAAGGGGGTAACCCTTCAAATTTGGGAGAACGGTTTATGGATTCACAGGTAGAATGGAATCAGCTGTTGGAATTAGCAGAAAAGTTTGATGCCTATGAAATTGTTTGTCGTGAATTTTAAAAAATTCAGTGCCATCTAAAAACCAAATTGTAGAAGTGAATTCCTGACATCAAATAGAAAATTAAGTCCACTGCAATATCTAGAGAAGCTATACAAGAACATGAACTCTTCATTAGAATAAAGAACTATCTGATGTTATGAATGTGAAACTCCTAGATACGTACAGTCTAAAGGAGAAGCAAAAGCATCTTTAAATAAGATCAGTTTGTGTACTTTTGAATGATTCACATATCCATCCACTTTTATTGTACTTAAAATATGTAAAGTAGAAGCTGTTGCATAGGCTGATACCCGTGCATCACACTTTATTGCTGGAGAAAAGTTATACCATATCCTGCAGGGTAAAAATGTAGAGTTTGAACCCAAACGCATTTCTCTGATGCTTGCATATTGAACACAGAGCAACATAGCTGCCTTGAGTATGTTTGTGAATCCTGTTGTTGAAAGTAAAGTGGTACCTACAGAACTAATTGTTTTATTTGAAGCAAAAAGAAACATAACTTTCTTAGAAACAGACTTTCTCCGAGGATTGACATGGATGTCCTCAGTGGTACTTGGCATTTCTGCGAAAATCCTTATATCCAGCACCCTTCCTACAAAGTGCTTTCCAAAACTGAAAATTCTGCATCCATTTCTGCATTTTCCAGACCCAGTCCCATTGAGTGAACATCGTATTAATACTGGAAACAGTCCACCAGTTGCAGCAAATTATACAATGAGGCCTGCAAACAGAAATTGCTGAAAAAAGAATTAGATTCTACCCTGGCTAATGGTATAATTAAAGAATGGAAATCTCCATATGCCAGCCCTGTTGCCTGCCCTAAACCAAACGATACCATAAGCCTTTGCATCGACTATTGCAAACTAAATGCTACTACTATTGCAGACGTACCCTCTACCGCACATGGATTATCTTCTCACAGAAGCAAAGTTCGATGCCCTATACGTCAACCATCAGTCTTAAATCAGAATATCATCAGGTCAGGGTTCATGAAGCTGAAGTTGCTTTCCTTTTCCCATGTGGAAAATATAAATATTTGCACATGCTTATTGGATTATGAAATGTACCATGACTTTTTAATGTCTAATTGACAAATTCAGAGCAGGGCTAAAGGGTATTGTTGTTTTGTCGTATCTAGATGATGTCATTATTTTATCAGAGACTTTCGATTAACATTTGGGTGACTTACAAACTGTTTTTGAGAGACTTTCTTTGTTTAAATTCCATGTTAATGGAGAAAACTGTCACTTTGCATGTGACCAAGTTAAATATTTAGGTCTCTGACTAACCGCAAATGGAACTGAAGTGGACCCAGAAAAAATATTTTCTATTTAGAGAATTCCTGTACCAACTAACTTGAAGGAAGTTCAATCCCTCTTGCAAACTTGCTCATGGTTTAGAAGGTATGTTCCAAACTTTGCGAGCATTGCAAGGCCACTTAGTTACCTTAAAAAAAGGGGGCTGTACAATGGATTCTGAAACTATCTCAGAATCGGGGGTAGCCCCCCCTCGCCCCGACTCTGAGATCTGGGTTCTTAAGCATATAAATTGATAGTCAAACATATTTTTCATCATATATTTTCAAATAACTGTAGTTAGTAAGTAATGTTTTAGTCAGTAGATTTCTTGATTATCTGCACCCCTACGAAATGAAATGTTTGGCTGTCTTTGCAGCTCATATGTTCTTTAAATAAATAGTTGTTTAGTAATAAAAAGAAGCATTTTATGCAAAAAGCCGCTGATGGATACTTTTAAAAAATGAGTTAAATATAAAATTTGAAAATAAGTCAAAAAGATATCAGTCCTAGCAAATGTAAAAAACTGAGGGTGTGGATAATAAAAAAATATTGAATATTCTATTCTAAATGCTATTATAAAACTACAAGCAAGAATTGGAAATGAGGGGAAATTTGGAACTGATAAGATTATAATCTAGACTTCTTTATATATATAAGTGGCTAAAGTGTGTGTCGCCGATAGTTTGTTGTACTCGGAAAAATGAGCATGGAAATTAACGTTTCCGCAGTTTTTAATTAATATCTCAACCGATTAAAGTCGTATGAAGATGAGAACGGTATTGATGGATTCGGAGAATTTTTTGGAATCCAAGGATATGCCTCTCGAATTTCAACTTGGCACCGTTCCGTAGATATACGAGAAAAAAGAATTTGGCACGTAGCCAAATCCCTCTAATAGGGAAAACACAAGAAAGAAAGTGGAAAATGAAGGGAAAAATTAGTTTTTAATTAATATCTCGGCTAATTAAAGTCCCAAGAAGACACGAATGGTCAAAATGGTGTGCTAGGCACCTGCGGAATCCAACGGTGTGCTTCGGTAAGCCCGGGAGCCAGCCATTTCGGAGGAGATGATGTTACTTCACCCTATATATATATATATATATGCGGCATAAGTGTCTGTTTGTCGCTGATAGTTTATTGGTTGCTTGCGTAACTGTACTGGACAATGGGGTGAAGTTGCTACGGCACAGGATTGCCGTTTCAATTATGTCGTAGACAATTTCCTGTAAAACTTGCCTTTGCTATGGCCATCAATAAGTCTCAGTGCTAAACGCTTAAGCGCTTTGGCATTTTTTTACCTGAGCCTGCATTTGGACACGGTCAACTTTATGTTGCCTGCTCAAGAGTTCGTGAAAGAATAGGCGTAGAATTATAATTGATGGTCCTCTGCAAGGCGAGCTTAAAAAATGATGGAAAGATCTACACAAGAAATGTTGTGTACAAAGAGATCTTTAACATGTGAAATCATTTTTATTGATTGAGCTAGCGGTGGACTCTTAAGAAATGTACCGCCAGTGGTTTCCTGTATTGTACTCTACTTTAAGCAATTAAGCAAGTAGAAGGGGTAAACCCTGTGGAACAGTAAGCAAAGGGGCATCCTCGCCGCCTGCCCTGGGTAATTCAGTTTAAATTAGGAGCCACCTCTGCACAAATCATTTTAATTACAATTTATATCTAGAACAGCAGTTATTTTGTATGACCACCCGGCTTTCTAGTCACTTATTTCAGAGGGAAGTACAGTAGATTTTTGTTATAACAGCTTCTTGCATTCGAAAGTAAAAGAAAACTGTATACAGTAAATTGCTGTTTTATGTAAAACTGGTTATATATTATGTGAATGTTAAGCCTGCTTAATTTCTAATTTAGCCATTTCCATTTCTTTTGTGTGTACTAAATAAAATATAATGTATTCAGTCTCAATATAAGACCAAGCCCAAGTGAAATCTGTGTTTAATTGTAGCTAATCTAAGGAATCTCTCACCAAATTTTTATAGGTTTTGAAAATTTAACTAGGGCTTTTACAAAAGCAAGGCCTGTTATTGAGAAAGAAGAAAATGGCAACATTCCAAAATTTTACATTAGATGTCTTGTAGAACTAGAAGATTTTATTACAGATGTAAGTCTATTAATTCGTTTGAAATGATTAATTGATCATCTTATTATTATTATTTATCTTACTGTTTGGCATAATACTTTTATGCAAAGCATGAATTTTTCAATTTAGTGTTGGGAAGACAAGGAAGGAAGGAAAAATATGTCAAAAAATAACTCAAAGTTTCTGGCTACACTTCGTCAGAAACTGCGGAAATATAACAAAGACTTTGAGACTGAAATTGCAAATTATAGGAAAAATCCAGATGCCGAGGATGAGGAGAGGGAAGATGAAGAAGAACAAGGTAATCATTATATATTTGTTTTCAGAAATTATAATTATATAAAATCATTCTTTTTTTATGAATCTTGCATCTGTATTAAAGGCTTTCATATGTTTTTAACCTAAGCATGTGAAAAGCATGCATATTAACTGAATATTGTACAATTTCCACAGTAAATATAAAAGTAAGAAAATTGTTCATCCTGTGTTGCAGTTTTTCTCTCTGTGTAAAAGTACATTCCATTCTTCCCCCATTCAGTCGTTGTTGATGATACATTTTCTACAATATTTAGACTTTGAGTTGTGTTTTGTTCAACAGATGGCATTAACAGGGTTCGTAGCGGTCCTTACAAGTGCTTATAAGTCCTTATATTTGAAAATAAAATATAAAGGCCCTTATAGATGCTTACTTTTTCTTTAAAGCCCTTATATTTTTTTATTTTTTTATTTTATTTTATTTTATTTTATTTTATTTATTTTTTTTTTTTTATGCTTTTAGTGCTTTTTTTAATGAACACGCATTTTTCCCCCTGTACCAAAGCCGAAACTAAATAAACAACTTTTCTTCCTTATATGGAACATCAGATGGTGAATCATACTCCCGGAAATAGCTTTTCCCCCTTTCTCTGCATTAAGGTAACCTATGGTGCGCGTGAGAGTACAGACAGGTGCACGTCGTTCTATTGGTCAAAGAATTGTGAAAACCGTAGAAAATTCCGGTACATTCGGTATTCTTTTCCTCCCACCCAAATACTACACACGTTTGAATTTCTATCAAGATTTTAAAAATTTACATTCTCATTCGCGTGGTCAGTTCATATTCATGTTTATTATGATCGTTATGCTTATATTATGAGCATATGTATGAATATTTATAATAATATAGTTGAAGTAGATGCTGAAGTGTAGATAAACTTCCAAAAATGGGTTTATTTTTACACAGATTAGCTTTCTAAAGAATAATATTCGGAATGGCTTAAATAAAAGGAAAGTAATCGAATAGTCATAATATTTTATTTTTTTATTTTTTATTTTTTTTCCAATACATTATACAGTATGGAGGTTGGGAGGTTCTCCCCTTTCTCCGCAAAATCTCTAATATTGAAGCAGCGAACTTTTTTTTTCACTGTCCAATCTGGATTGAATAGGATTAAAAGTTTTGCAGTCTACCCAACCCAAGCGAAGAATGATTCTATTCTGGAAATTTAACGGTCTGTTCAAAATTAGAAGCAAAAACACCCCAGATTAGTAAGTCTCTTTTCCTTTGTTTAGTTCTTTATTCTCCGAATACTGGCAGCTGTTGATTCTGATTGCGTAATAACACGTATGGAAGAATTACGCCGCAAGTATTGCACAATGACGTTTACGGTATTTTGCAGAGATAATTAATTTTTATATTCAGTCTGAGATTTATTTATGAACACTTAAAAGAGTTTAACTGTTCTTTCTAAGCAGAATATTTCTCAGTTCCGTTGGTCTATTTTTGTATGATGCACATATCGAAATGTCAAAATCATTTATTTAGCCGAGAAATCTAAAGAACGGCTACAATCCCCCCCTTCTCTTTTTTCAGTTACGCTCGACTATACGGAATATTCGGCAATTTCCGAGTATGCGGGTTAGTTAGGCTTTTACTGTTAAAGGATGACTGCATGAAGCAATTTCCGTTCTCCTGATTTCAGAAATGTTCCTCTTTTTTACTTAAATTACTTTGCTTGGAATATATGTTAAGAAAAAACTGTTATGCAATGAAAATTTAGAAAATGTTCAGAATTTTGATTTAAGTTAAATTATTTAAATATGAGTGGAAAAATAAATTGTATTTATTATTAGGTGCCAAGTGAATTCAATTAATATGGCTTATTATTATTTATTTTCTATATTTTGAACTGAAATTTCATCATTAAATCTTGTAATATAGTTTAGTTCTGCATAGTTGTTTTTTCTCTCATTGTAAAATAATTCTGTAAATTGAACTGTCATTTAAAATTAAAAAAAAAAAAAAGTTAATTATTTCCCATTATTGAGGTAATGCTCATTCTCTTAATAAATATTGCATTGGTCATATTTTAAATAGCAAGTCTAATTTTTCTTTTAAGGTTATGCAGTTGTGTATAATGTAATTAGACAGGTGCTTATTTTTTTTTCTTAAAATGTGCTTGAAAAGTGTTTATAAGTGCTTACTTTTTAACTAAAATGTGGCTGTGAACCCTGCATTAATGTTGCCTAAATTTTCATATTTGCAGAGTTCACTAACTGATTTTGGTGCTGATTTGGTTATCATTTTTGTTTTTTTTATATATATAAAAAAATGATAAAAGCAGAATTCATATTCAGAATCTGGCTTGCAGAAAATGTTCAGCGAGCATTATATGTCCCTGATGATATTTCTGACACTGAAAATTAGTTAGTTATTTTGTAGATGGCAATAGTGAAACAGATTTTTAGTTTCCAGATTCATCTCCAGATAGTGATGAATCTGTAAAATAATTCAGTAATCATCCAAAATGTTTGCCAGTGGTGTAAAATAAATTCTGCAGTTTTCTTTTCTTGACAGTCCAGGAATAACTGTGAAAATGATGAATAATGCAACTATTTAGATTAATGTGAGCTTTGGAATGTAAACATAGCTCTGGAAAACATAATTCTAATTGCAAACCTGTGAGATGGATAGCTCATCATTTTGCAAGCGTCACCCCTTCTAATCTCTGCCCCCCAAAAATTCTGAAAGCTTTCAGGTCTTATAATATGCCCAAAGGTGCGTCCTCCCCCCCCCCCCCCATTTACACACACATACACATTTCAACAGCGAAAAACTAAAAATATTAAAAAACAGCATGTCTTTAGAATTCCCGATAGACAGTCTCACACGTAGATAGTAAAGATAGAGAATGTGCCCTTGCCCCGGTTATAATGTTGCCAATGTTCGCTTTAATAAAAAATTCATCAGAGTTTTACATGATATGAAATAGACAATGAAACAGATTCCCAAATTCAGGCTTTCAGGTGCTGATATTTGGGTGGAGGACTACATTGTTCAAAATGTGATGGCTTTAGGTACCGTTGTTTTTCACAATGTGAGAAACATTGCATACATTAATGCGGATTCTTCATTATGTTATTTCTTTAAAAGGGTGATAATATTTAGTGGCAGCAATCTGAAAAATGATGCAGTGGTTTTAGTGATTAAATGCAAAATGCTGTTCTGAGACTAATATCCCTTCTGGGTTAATGCCTCAAAAACTTGCAGACAGTATGTTTTTTGTTGATTAAAAAAATTTACTAGCTAAAAAATAAAATCACAAAGAAACACATATTTAGTGCAAAGAGGGCTTTACCTGGAACCTCATTTTGGAATTTTCCGCACTAAATTTATTTTATGGTGTAATTTGTTGAACAAGATTCAGGCGGTCCTTAAAAGAACTTTGTCTTTTTTTTTTTTTTTTTTTAATAATTTTTGGTCTTTAACCCATTAACCTCCCAAACTACAAGGAATGATTCTTTTCTCGTGAAAATAATAAAAAATATTAAATTAAGCATTTATAACATAAATTTACATTTAAAATTTAAAAAATGCTCTTACCTGTGGAAAAAGTTAGTTATACGTTCACACAACGTCAGCAGAATAAGACTACGGATGTTTAGTGAATAGGATTGTACTCGTCAGATGTTTCCTTTGAGTGGAGCACTGGATTACTTTTTAGCTGTATAACGTTTTATAAATCTACAAATCACTTTACTTGTAATTAATTTAATAATTAAATATGCATTATATTTCTTTTACAAATACAGATTATTTCAATTGAAGTATTCAAGCGTGAAAAGCTTCACTACAATCATGATATAAAGCTACATTACATGCTTTGCATTCTATAAACAGTCTGTTTATGACACTCTTTACTACAACGTCTTTTGTTATCATCGGACTTTACGATAAAAGGTCTACCATCTCCATGCAGTGGTTTTTTAATGCTGAATTTGCTAGGTCTTCCTGTAGCTGATCTATTTCTGGCTAATTTTACACTCTCAATAGGAGTTTGCAAAAGGAATAATGAAATCTCGCGCCTGAAATATAAAAGAGACTTTTTTTTTAGTAGTAGAAATTCCAGTAGTAGAAAGTTGTGCTATTTAGTAAGTTTAGATACAGTCTCACCTTATATAATTTATCAGTATTGTCAATTTGACTATTGTCAGCTAAATGCAAATTCTGCTTCATATTCCTGTACTCCAAACATGATATCGATTCTCGTACAATAGGAACAGATATGTCCTTATCAAGAGACCAGTACATTTCTTCTTGAGGTAAAGAATATCCCATAAGCAATAGTATTCCAATAAATCTTCCCATATAAGCTTTACATGCAATAAATTCTGTGAGATTTTTTTTGCTGAGCGTATGTATTTGTCTGTTTAACGAGAAAAGAGTAAATGTCTAACCAAAAAGAAAATCTCTCCACTAGTTTTACCTTGTATTTTGTCTTTTGTAGTTTCTCTCCTGTGTGCCTCTTTCTTTATTTTCTTCCTGAGACATAACTGACAGTTCCCATTTTATCCATTTCAAGTTTTCAGTTTTCTGCTTTTTAAACTTTTTCGTATGACTACCACTACTTTTAGAAGGCTGAAACTTACTTCTTACGTGAATTTCAACTTCACCAGCAATATCGTTTGGTAAAATATCATTATCATTATTTAAAACATTGTCATTCCCTTTCTTCTTCATCACTAGCTTCTGCAATTTCTGGGGGAACAACAACAATATCAGTTTCATTCTGGTCATTATTAGCATTATCATCATCTGTTTTTTCATCAAAAAAATCTTTGAAGAGCTTCTTCTAATGTAAGATACCTCATTATAGGCATTATAGGCATCGAAAGGAATGAGTAATAAAGGAGATTACCCATTCTTGTTTCCTGCTGATGTTGAGTCAGCCCAATGCCTGTTGTCCCTTCCTTCCCAACACTAATATAAACATCTGATTAACCCATTGACGCGCGGTGGTCGCGCCCTGAAACCACCAATTT